CAATATTACTAATAATTTTTGTATTGGGTTCAACTTACTGGAAGCACAAAAGCATTTACACCTGGTTCGTCTACCACATGGATAACCCACTTGAGCGCTGAGACCTGTGGGATGTCCTTATTGCTTTCAGATAAATGACCAACAACTCTCTCCACAACCTGATAGCGTGCATCTGTCTCAGGTAACATTTTACTTTTGAATTCCTCCATCCACTGAAAAAAGAATTCATTGATTGCCATGCAGAAAAAACACACAGTAAATGACTAATTGGTAAACTAACCTAGTGGCTACACACAATTTAGTTAAATCTAAGTTTTAATACATTTTTCTTTCATATAGTCAAAGCCAATATACTAGACTTCAGGCTTTCAGACCCACAAGTTAAGGATTAATAAACGTAAAAGGAAGTAAACTGACCACAGATCAAAATTAAGATAGCATAAACTTGGTCCTACAGCCTCTTGTATCTGGCATTTTCCTAACACACAGTTAGTCTTGGCATCACAATTTGGCAAACCTTTCTATACCTTCCTGAACTTCCATCTGAATTTATAACTTTTCTGTATCTGTATATTTCTGTTGTAATTTGTAAGGTGGACAAATTTATACAAAACATGTAATTTGAATGTATCCTTGTACTACTTCTGTCCTTATCTCACATTCTCTGTCAGATGGGAATACAGGGACATTTGTACATGGATTATCAAGTTTCACTGGCTTTAGAACAGAAAGCCACAGAACTCAGAATTATAGAAATTAATGCAATGGACAGTTTAAAAGAAAGCAATTAAAGAAAAATGAGCTGATCCAATGAAAAAAAAGAAGTAAAATTGAATGCAGGTGGAGAGTATTACCTTACAAAGTGACAGCTTAGAAGAGAGGACCTTAAACAAATGCCAAAGAATGCTCAAATCAGCACAGAAAATGAGACAGATCTCAGCATATGTCTATTAGCTATGCTTTTATTGCTTCTACCAGATTTCTATATTTCTTGTTATATTACAATAACACAGTTAGAAATGTTTGCTACATACATGTAACGTGCTCTTTAACTGTCATGTGCCCCTGAGTGGTTTGCTGATGGAAAGGGAACTCTTAAAAAGGATGAGGACAAGAGGAGGGGGTAACTCATGGGGGTGCTCTGCAGGGTTCTGAGCATGAAGTTCAAACCTTATCAAGGACACCACAAGGTTTGTTTGCCCATCTCATTAACTGGACTATCTCATCACTAAAAAAAAGCATCAACAGTTCTAGAGTATTTTGAATTTTTCTTTAAAATCTTACCATATCATATTCCATCTGTGACAGTTCCGTAAAATGACCTTTTCCAAACACCAACAGTCGAGCGCGCCCAGTGATGGGTGTCTCCTCCAAGTGAGTAAAATAAAACACGACAAATAAAACTCCTAAGCTACTGACACCCAGGAGTATCTTCCATTTATTTTTTCTCGCACTTTCTTTAAAAAGTTCCTGTTTATTAGGAGGAAGTGCCTTCCACCAGTTTCTTATGCTCCTGTAAGATACAAACAATGTTAACTTAGGACATAGTTAAAAAGGAATTTGTTAGTGTCTGCCCTTGCTATATTCTCTATTACAGTCTCACCTCATGTAAGAGCTTATGGAAGGTTATACTGTAATTGGCTTCTACTCCACTCCTTTTCTTCCCTCCCACAGGAGAAGAAGGAATGCCCCTTAGTGTCTTGGTTCATCTCCCTCTACCACATGTAAATGAGAAGGAGAAGAGCAAAAGATACATCTAACACCTCTGATAATGGAAACAACTTCTTGTTGAGCAAACTGTCAGTCTAGGCCCCAGTCCTACAAAATTTTGCAGATATTAAAATGAAAACACTACGAATACACCTACCATTCTCCACAAACTCACGCACACGTCTTTCCATAATGGGGTCTTACACTGAGAGAGGAAGTAAGATAGTATTTTACCTGCCAAGAATGATAGCAAATAATTTCTGAGCTGGCTTAACAATAATCCAGAAAAGAGGAACTGGTGCAGCCTGAAATGATGGTGATGTGCGAAAAGACCTGATGATCTGAATGTTCCAAGCAGAAAAGTGATGTGGGAGTTGTCCTACAGAACTGATCTGGAGGGATGTGATCTTCTCCCCCAATGGCCGAGAAGACCAGAAACAAAACCTTCCTGAACTGTGGTGTGCATTCTTGTATACTTCTGTATTTGGGACATTGAAAAGACACCGCAGTCCTTTACCAATGAAGTTTCTATAGGAGTCAGGGCTTCCAGTCAAAAAACAGTTTCTAGTATTTCCACTCAAATACAGCCTTTGGCATCTATCTTGTGTACAACTGACTTGAGTTCGGCAATATCCCCTGTAAAACCTATAGAGATTATTGCACTTCCCCTGCTTGGTCAAAGAAGCCAAATGAAAAAAAATACAGTTCTTGCCCGGCAACTTTAGACCACAGATGATATTCATAACTTCTTTGGTTGGTTACCCTGAAACAAAGAAAAAAATAGCAGAGAGGTGTTAAGAAAACCAGACAAACATGAAACTCTGAAACATTACTTCGTGTCTTCTGAACAGATACCACGTATTTGTTTGCCAACGGTTGCATTGCACAAAAAAAGTCACAGTTACAACTGCATCCTGTTGCAGTTTTAAGGTACCAATCTGCTTTCAACTGTGGAAAAGTCAGTGTCTTACATCACTGAGAACAAAGCAAAGTGCGATTTTTTTTTCTTTTGTTTTTATTACCACCAGATCAGAATGACTGCAGGTGTCCCTTGTGTAAGACGTGTGCATCATCACCCTTCCATGCTGGGCTCCTTGCCACAGGTGCCATTCATACATACTGAGGAAAACCAGGATCTATTGAGCATTTTGGTAATACTCTGCTGTTGAACGCAGGGTGCATATCTGCTGCACCCGTCCTCGAAACAAAATGACTCAACACAGAAAAACCAAGTGCCTCCCAGCCTGTACCCTCTTACTCCCGGGGCATGAAATGGAAATGCTTTCCCGCCGGGCAGGCCCCGGCGCCCGGCCGGCCCCCGCGGCGGTCATTTTCACCCGCTGGCTCTAACAGCGGCCTCCGCTTCCCTCCCCCCCCCCTGCCGGCATCGCCGCCCCTCTCAGAGAGAGGAACCGCACCGTCGGCTCCACCCGCCTTTTCCTCGTCCTCCCTTTCTGGCAGCGGCCTGACACCCCGAGTCGCCCTTGGGTGCTGACCTCGGCTGCCAGCCCTCG